ATATGTTTTATTAGTACTTCAGGGGAAGGATATTGATATGACTTTGGGGGATTTCTGAGGATTTTATATATGTGTGCTGATTTATACTTATTCTGGTTCTTTTAATAGCTGCATGAGAAATGGGATTTCCTAAAACTTGCACAAATTGCTCCAGTTTCAACACTAAGAAATTGAAAGTGCTTGTGGGCAAAGTACATGTGTTGATTAGTCCATGAAGTGTTTACCTAGTTCCAGAGTACAGAGGTGATTAAAGGCTGTGGACCATTGCACAATGGAGTATAGTCCCACTGTTGTCTGCCTCCAGGTTGTGTTTGGTATGCTCTGCCAAGGATAAATGATGTCACATTACTCAGATGATAAGTACACAGAGAGCTTTTCCAGAGAAATGACATGTGGATTTGCTTTGTACTTGATTGTAACAGTCTATTTATAAGTAAAGCCAGTATAATTGGCTGAATCTGCCACTATATTAGCTCTGCCCTCACCAGCAGGTCTCAAAAGAAAACGGGGCACCTTTGTTAGTGACTTAAGCTAGCTATTGAGTACTTTGTTGAGCGAAAAAAAAAAATGGATTCCCCTATCCACACCAGTGAGGTGGAAAAGAAATCCCCCCTGCTGGGATATTGTACTCTGACAGTGGGACTCCTGCACTGTCAGAATACATTGATCCATGGCTGCAGATGTTGACAGACGTTTTCCAGCAATTTCGTTCAACAGAAGTCGATCAAACGGTCACCTTTTATTAAACAGGGATGGTGCAGGAAAAAGATCATATGTATTATGTGATGGCTATTATCTGAACCACACAAGTAAAGTCCTTAAAGTGGAGCTCCACCCAAAAGGGGAAGTTCCGCTTTAAGCATTTGTCCCCAGCTCCCCATTAAGGATTGGCACCTTTGGGAAGCGGGGGGCGGAGCGGGTATCCGAATTTGACAGGTACCCGTTCCCACTTCCGCTGCAATCACCTAGACGATCAAAAGTTGTCCTCCCTCCCCGTAGCCTTCTGGGACACGTGACAGGTCCCAGAACACTACGGGTCCATTCACAAAGCGCAGTGTTTCTTATGCTTGCACAGTGGGCACCCGGCTGTGAAGCCACAAGCTGTCACAGCCGGGTGTCCACAACAGGGGCGGACTGACCATTGGGGAACTCGGGCACTGCCCGGAGGGCCCGGGGTCAGTAGGGGGCCCCATGAGATGTCCCTGGTAACTTTCATAGGCTTTTTTTGGGTGTGGTTTGAGTGTGGGTGAAGACACAAGTGCCCCATGATCCCCTATTGCCCAGGGGCCCCATGAGTTGACAGTCCGCTGCTGGTCCACAATGAAGATGCCGGCGCCGAGAAGAGAAAACGGCCGGTGAAATAAGCCATGGTGAGAACACCGAGGGACAGGTAAGTAGTGTCTGTGTTTTAAAAGTCAGCAGCTACAGTTTTTGTAGTTGCTGACTTTTATTTTTTCTTTTTCAGGTGGAACTCTGCTTTAAGGTCCAAACGTGGTTAATGGATAATCCAACAATGCTTGACTCAGTGGCAGCTGATTCAAAATGAGATAGAAGGGACTCTGTGTGAACCATAAAAAGGGGCAATGCAGTAAAGTCTAAAGCTGGCCATAGATGGATCAAAATTCCCTGATGAGCCAGCTGAATTTGATCCATGTATGGCCATCCCCATTTAATATAAAAAAAGAGAGAAGCAGAGCCATCTATGTGCAGTAATAAAAAACTAATAATTTATTTTCACAAAATTGGCAACTCACAAAAGTAGTAGTGAAATGAGCGCTTGTCAAACTAGCGTCAACCGCTGTTGAACTCCTGTCCGGAGTACAATGCACTGTTCTTGGCTGTGCTGGTGGCTCCCAGCACTTCCTGGTCGGTGTGGATATACAGGGTGGGCAATGGCCTGATGAAGGAGCATGCATGCTCCGAACGCGTACCATGCCTACTGCTGCTATACCTGTAGCTGACATCACTCCCGCTCCCACCTGCAGCAGCTATCCTGATTCCAGCAGTCATCCATCCAGGTCCCAGCTGGGCAGTCAGGAGGCCTACATCTAGAAGTTATCTCTGACACCCTGAAATTTCACCATGGGATCCAGCCCTCAAAGCCTCACTGGGATGGCACCTGAAGGAAGCTGAAAGGGTGAAGCTGCTCCCCTGGCCTCGTGGACCATTCTCTGAAGTGAACTGTTTTACTGCAAGATCTTTGTGACTGTACACTATTGGGATTGCTGGGCCACTTAATTCCTCTCCTGAAAGGTACATACCAACTAGTCCTCATAGTCAACTAGTCCCTCTAGTTTTGTGAAAAGACTTTGAGCTGTGTGGTTCCCCTCTTGAGAGGTTCATACAATTAGTCTCCTCTGATCTCTTGTGGGAGGACCATTCTCTGAAGTGGAGTCCAGTAGTTCCTACTCTTGTGAGGGGGATGCATTACTACCTCTGGCTTCTACTAGTCTCTCATGGAAGGATTGTACTCTGATGCTGAGCAGAGAATTATTATAGGGGGGATTTGCTCCTGAAGTTTATATGCAACTTAGAGAATTACTATATGTGTGTCCTCAATCGTGTTGCCATTAGTGTTTCTGAAGTACACTCCCATACTACCCTACACCCCATCAAAGGTACCTAAAATAAACCACTTTTTTTCCCTCTCGGAAAAAAAGGTTGCATCCCTAGACTAATTATTGAGCCAGAATGAGTGGAATGCTGCCGTGTGTGCCTGACTGCCTCTGCCTTTTTTGGGAAAGAACCTGCATTAAACTCTGTGGCTCCTGTGGGGAGTAGTGATGCACTTATAATGCTTAGCTTTTGTTTATGTAAAACTTTTAAAAGTTAAAAAGAAAACTGTTACTGCATCTGTTAAAAATGTTAGCACAAGCTTTTAATTTGTTAGTCAAGTCCATCTAAATATGCTAGTACATCTAACACTATCCTGTTCACAGGCTGACAATGCTGTTGTCCAAAGGTGTCTCCATTGCAGTGAAGTGGAGACACCCTAAGACATGAAGTGGGGGTTTAGTACTGCTTTAGATATACAGTACGTGAGTGTGTGAGAGGCCTAAAGTAAACTTTTTATATCAGATATTACTGACAGGACAATTTTCCAGCATGGTGACCTTATTGTGATTCCTGCTTGAGGCCCCAAGCAGAAGATTTCAGTGAACAAAGCAACCACCAGGACAAGCTACACATCTCATTCATCTCATGTAAGTACAGTCCCTTATGACAGTTGCACTTTGCCCAACCAAACTGTCAAGCCACCAAATGGCAGGTGTCAAAATATATATGTCCAGTAACATGGCAATTGTAGATCAAAAAAAGCCAAGATGGCAGCTTCTCTGGCTGTTAAGCATAAGGGGGTTAAGTTTCACTTTAAAGTAGTTCTAAAGACTTAAGGTTTTTTTGCTATGCAGGATCCCCCCAGCCCCTCCCCCTTATTCAGCAGCTAAAAAACTGCAGCTAACTTTTAAAAAAATAGCCACTTACCTGTCCCTCAGTCCCATGGTGTGTCCCCCTGCAGCTCATTTCACCGGCCATCCTGTATTCCAGGATGCCGGCATCTTCAGTGTGGGCACCCGGCTGTGATAGCTTGCAGCTTCAGAGCTGGGTACCCACTGTGTATGCGCGAGTAGCGCTGCGCTTCGTGAATGGTCCTGTAGTCTTCTGGGACCTGTCACATGTCCCAAAAGACTACAGGAGAGGGAGGGAGGACACCTTCCGCTTCCGATCGCCTAGGCAACCTGCGGCTCTTCAACCGTTGCAGGACTACAAGTTCCATCATGCCACTGCAAGTCATAGCTATAACTGTCAGTTTTGTAATGTTGCAATGCCTCATGGGAAATGTAGTTCCACAACAGCTAGAGAGCCGCAGGTTGCAAACCCCTGGCCTAGGCAATCGGACCGGAAGTGGGAGTGGGTACCTGTTAAATTTGGGTACCCACTCCCACAAAGGTGCCAAACGTTAATGGGGAATGGGGGAGCAGTCCTTAAAGCAGAACTTCCCCTTTTTGGGAGGAGCTCCGCTTTAGGCTGCCAGCAACAGCCTGTGAGGGATACATAGGAAAAAAACATTTGTGCATAGTTCAGTCCACTTCATCTGGCGGAATAAGGACTTATCTTAGCAGCAGAAGCTGCAGCAGCTAATGTAGAAAAAAATTAGATTGGCATGTAAAATGAGATTTAACAATCAAAAACAAGAAGCTCAACAAACCCCACACTATTTAAAATAAACAACGCGGTGCCTTTTTTGTTAGCACTTCTTTTTGGCAGTGCTGAAGTTCAGGGTTCAATTTCCGACAAAGACAATCTCTGCATGGAGTTCAGAGATCCAGTTTCCTGCTATTTATTTTATGCAATGGGAAATATAATGAAGGATATAAAACACACAAAGGTAGTCTGGAACTCCCAAAGCTACCAGGTAGACAGGAATAAAGTTGGAAATGATGGCAGGCAGATTTTGCTGTCAGTGAGACAAAAATACAGCCAGTGGTTTACTCACTGCACTAATCTCCACCTATAATGTTCACTTTTTTGGTGGACTGGTCATTTAAGAGGTACATAATCTATGGTTTGTATGTAAATTCATGAAATGTACTTTTTGAAATCTTGTATAAAATTTAAAGCAGTGGAGTGGTCTGGAAACTAAAGTAAAAACAATAAAAAAAAGAGCAGCAATTGATTGAGAATCATTTTATTACAAATAAACCATGAAGCAATTTGTAAAAAACAGAACAGGTTGCCTTGCAAAGCATGCTGGGGCTTCTGCTTAGTGAGCTGCTGTGTGTGGCCAGTTTGTTCAGCTTTAAAATCTGATTTACCCACCAAGTTACAAGAAGGGGAAAGGTTACTATACAAAAAACAAAGACTACCACTCTTCTTCCTCCACTGGGCGAAACTTCATCTCCGAGAACTTAAGTGAGTACTTGATGCCTCTAAACGTGGCCCAGGCAATCCCCCCTTTTTCATTGTGCTCCCCTTTAAGATAAAGTCCATTCAGAGAAGAATCATAACAGGCTTTGTGCCACCAGGGAGCAGTATAAAAAAACAGCACAGTTGGACTTTCGGCTGCCATCATTGCCTGTATCCTTGGTAGAAAACAACTGATTTTTGTGGTAAGAGAGCGAGTCACCTAAAGAAGTAACAAATATGAGTTCAGTGTATTTCCTGCTTACATTACAACTGTCTCATAAAGCATATCTCTTGCCAATATTTTGCCTTTTTTGGATAGAGTAGGGAAGGGTTAAAACCTACAGTCATGGCCAAAAATTTTGGCACCCCTGCATTTTTGTCAGATAATACACCACTTCGCCCAGAAAATTGTTGCAATGACAAATATTTAGCTATTCTTATGTTTTTTTCTTTTGTTTGTATTGGTATGACACAAAAAAGTCAAGAAACAAAAATCCAAATCTGACACATTCCACGCAAAACCCCCAAAATGGACTGGACAAAATTATTGGCACCTTCTCAAAATTGTAAGAAATAAATGCATTCCAAGTTTGCGATGCTCCTGTAATTTGTGATTAAACTCATCTGTATCAATTAACAGGTGCTGACAATATAGAAATCACACCGGCAACCAGATAAAATGGTGAAAAATTGACTCAACCTTTCTGTTGTGTGTCTCCGTGTGCCACATACAACTGTGTCAGCTCACACTATACGTTGCCATCTGATTGAAAAAGGCACCTTATGGTAGGAGACCCAGGAGGACCTCTCTGCTGACACAGGAACATAAAAAAGGCAGATTGGAGTTTCCCAAAACTTACCTGAGGAAGCCAAAATCCTTTTGGGAGAATGTGCTGTGGACAGACGAAACTGAATTACAGCTTTTTCATAAAGCCCATCATCAGTCAAACATGGTGGAGGTTCACTGTTGTTTTGGGGTTGCTTTGATGCTTCAGGTACTGGATGTCTTGACTGTGTGCATAGCATAATAAAATCTGAACAATACCAAAAAATTCTGGGGTTCAATGTAGGTCCAGTGTCAGAAAGCTGGCTCTCCGTCAGAGGTTATGGGTCTTACAGCAAGACAGTGACCCAAAGCACATGTCAAAAAGCACCCAGAAATGGTTTAAGACAAAGTGCTGGAGAGTACTGAACTGGCCAGCAATGAATTCGGATCTCAATCCCATAGAGCACCTGTGGAGTGATCTCAAAACAGCAGTTGGGAAAAGGAACCCTTCCAATCTGAGAGACCTGGAGCAGTTGGCAAAAGAAAATTGGTCCGAAATTCCAGTAGAGAGGTGTAAGAAACTCATTGATGGTTACAGGAACCATTGATTTCAGTTATATTTTCCATGGGGTGTGGTATCAAATATTAAACGAGGGTGCCAATAACTTTGTCCAGTTAATTTTTGGGGTTTTGCATGGAAATGTGTCAGATTTGGCTTTTTGTTTCTCCACTTTTTTGTGTCATACAAATACAAACAAAAGAAATAAACATAAAAATGCCTATACATTTGTAATTTTAACAATTTTCTAGGTGAAGTGGTGCATTATCTGACAGAAATGCAGGGGGTGCCAATAATTTTGGCCATTGCTGCATGTCATGTTTTATTTATGCCTCTGTTCATTTGGGGAGAGTCCTCACTTCTAGATCAAGATGAGAAAAAAATATCTCCATAGTGATGGGGAACCAATAACAGAAAAAACACACTTTTTTCACTTTTCCCATACTATGTGCCTTTAAGTCTGAGACCAATCAACAGCCCATGTGTGTAATCCACACTGAAAGATCTCTGCAGCTAGCTCTGGACTTATCATGCATAGGGGAATGCACTAAGGTGTCCGTTTATGAACCAGCAGTAATAGATCGCTGCTCAGTTCTCCGGAATTCTCGGAGAACACAGTTCTCCTGTGAATGCAGTTTATGAAGCAGTTCTCCGAACGAAGGGAGAATGGTCTCCAAACGCTGGAGAACGGTCTACAAACTCTGAAAAACGGCTCATTTTACTATAATCTCACGAGATTACAGTAAAAGATCAGTTTACTAAACAGAGGTAAATTATCTCTGCTTAGTTTTCGGTCCCTCTGATTCTCCAGCTCTGGGCTGGAGAATCTGGAGGGAGAACACAGATCTCCAGAGAAGGGCTGACATGATCTCCTGAGTGTCATAAACTGTGAATGACCAGAGAATAGCTGAGATCTGTTGAATCGCAGCTATTCTCTGTGTCATAAACGGACACCTTTACTTGAAAAGAAAAAACAGGGAAGCCCATGATTTTGCACAATTTATCACCTTGAATTGAATAAAAACAAATCAGCTTGCACTCATATTTGTTAGCAGAAACGATAAGCATTGTGAACATCCTCAAAGCATAGGAGGATGAATGCTGACACCATGGCCAGTGGTGTAGGGAAAAAGACAGTTTCGGCTAGAATCTTCAGTTGCAGTGCTGAAAGACTAAGGAAAGAGGAGACACACTCCTGCACTCAGAATACAGATTTGTCCAACATTTCTGCTGACAGGGACGAAAGTCATGTTTCGGGGGTGAGTCCCTCTTTCGTAAGTCAGGATTATCTATTTAAAACAGTGATGTGGGATGTGTTGGCAGGCTTAAGAAAGATGGACCTGCCCTCAAAACAAGTTGGGCAAGTCTGTATAGTGTGAAGCACAGCCCTGAGTGCAGGAGTGGGTCTCCTCTTCCTTAACCTGTACTGTGAGTGAGGATTCCAATTGAATTTGATTTTTTCACAGCACCACTGGCCATGGTGTCAGCTTTCATCTTCCCCTTCAATAAAATCCAATAAAGTGATTAATTGTGCAAGATCATGGAATTCCCTATTTTTTTTTATTTTCTACTGTTTTAAAGTGAGCGGGAAGGGGGGTGGCCCTATTGCAAGATTTTCCTTCACTTCTTTTTTCAATGAAAACTGTAACATTTGTAATTGACATTTCGTTGTCTCCTGGCGACAGTGGTCATCAGAAAAAATAGATGAGGTGGGTCTTCCCAGTGTGGACATAGACAGCAATAAAATCTTGACAGAATTGTTGGCCATACAGTATATACACTTTAAAGAAACGTGCTAACATACAAATATAGATTGTAATTGCTGACATTCTTCTGAAAATGCTAGTTGTTTGCCTGTATCTGACTTTCCAGTCAATGACCTGGCATACAGCAAGTGAAGCCAGAACTCCAGATCTGAATACCTATTCTGGTTCAATGACTCGGATAGTGCTGTAATCCAGTATTTCTCAACCTTTTTCCAGTCGGGGCGCCTTTGAAAAGTATTTTCAGTCACAAGGCACCCCTGTCCAAGGCTTGGTTCACGTTACAGTGTGTCGCGGAATGCACGCGAAATCGCACTCATTCCTGACACACAGACAAATGCTCTGCTCTTTAGGAGTACCCCCATACATTGGCAACGTAGAATGTTTTTGGTGTGGTGCAATTTTAAAACTATTATTATTATGCAGTGTTTAGCGCCAAGGGGTTTGCTCAGCGCTGTACATTAGTGAGGGGGACAGAACATGAGACAAGACAATACAATACACGAGGGGTTCGAGGGCCCTGCTCTTTCGAGCCTACAATCTAGGAGGGAGGGGATAGTGGTACAGGAGGAAGTGGCTGTGGGGGGTGGAGTGGTAGGAGGAGTGGAGGAGATCAGTTGTTAGGTGAGGGTGGGGTAGGCTTCCCCGAAGAGATGGGTTTTCAGGGTGTGCCTGAAGGTGAGGAGGGTAGGTGACAGTTTGATGGATTGGGGTAGGGAGTTCCAGAGGATGGGGAAGTCCTGGAGAAGTCCTGCAGTCGGGCGTGGGAGGAGGAGACCAGGAAGCTAGAGAGTAGGAGGTCTTGTGAGGAGCGAAGGGCACGGGTTGGGTGGTATTTGGGTATCAGGTCAGTGAGGTAGTTTGGGGCAGCATTGTGAATGGCTTTGTATGTCAGAGTTAGTAATTTGAATTTAATGCGTTGGGCAATCGGGAGCCAGTGGAGGGAACGACAGAGGGGGGTGGCAGAAGAGGAGCGGTTGGTGAGGTGGATGAGTCTAGCCGCTGAGTTCAGGATAGACTGGAGTGGGGATAGCATTTGTTTGGGTAGGCCAGTGAGAAGGGAGTTGCAGTAGTCCAGGCGTGAGATAATGAGGGAGTGTACCAGTTGTTTTAGTAGTGTCTGGGGTGAGGAACGTACGTATCTTGGAGATGTTGTGAAGGTGGAGCCTGCATGACTTTGATAGTGATTGGATATGAGGTTGGAAGGAAAGGTTTGAGTCGAGGGTGACACCCAGGACTTTGGCGTGTGGGGTGGGATTGATGGTGGCGTTGCTAGTCGTGATGGAGAGGATGGGGGGGGGCGCGGGCTGGGGGGAAAACTAGGAGCTCGGTTTTGGACAGGTTTAACTTGAGGAAATGGAGCGACATCCAGTCTGATATGTCGTTCAGGAGGTGGGTGATGCGGGCGGACAGTGAGGGGGTGAGGTGAGGGGTGGAGAGGTAAATTTGTGTGTCGTCGGTATAGAGGTGATAGTTGAAGCCGTGGGAGTGTATCAGTTTGCCAAGGGAGGAGGTGTAGATGGAGAAGAGGAGGGACATCAGGGACAACTTTCCCTGCATTTCTGAAATGAATGGGCTGCCCTACACATAGCCACACAGATGTGAACCAAGGGCTTGTTCACCTGTGAGGTTGGAGGGTGGTAAAACCATGCAATTGAGCTGCTTTTACCACCCCCAACTGCTATCCCTTTAGCTGCAGAAACAGCAGCTGGGGGTATACACATGCTGTTGCTGCAGCTGGAAGTATACCTCCAGGTGAATGGGGTTGAACTACAACCACCCCGCAACTGCGTGCGCATTGCACACAGTTGTGGTGTGGTGTTTGATGCTGCTTTTTACGGGGTAAACTAGGTGGTGAGGAGGCAACATATTGCCTCTTTACCACTTGTCAAATGCCTCTGAAAAGCAATCTGAGCATGGATTGCTTTTCAGAGGAGCAGCAGTCCTTGCTGCTATTACGAACAAGTCCTAAAAAAGCAGTTCTGAAAAGACAGGAATAGGGGGTCAAGATTAAAAGTAAAATACATATACAGACATATAAAAACAAACACACACATACGTACACATACACACACATGTACATGCACACACATACACATGTACTCACACGCATACACATGTGCTCTGCACTTTAGGGGGAAACAGAGAGCACAGAAGACACTCCCCTTCCCTTTGCTTTCACTTTACTGAGCGCTATGACTGCTCCCAGTGCCGACGTACAGTGCGGCTGGGGATCGGGAGCTCCGGCTCAAGTGACAGCCATTCTCCCCACCGCACCTCTGAAGACCTCTGGCAGCACCCTGGGGTGCCTCGACACCCCGGTTGAGAAAGGCTGCTGTAACCAAAGGAATTAACATGACAACCAGAAAAATAGTATTTTCAGAAAAAAGGAAATCTACATAGCTCTTTCAGCACAGATTATCTTTAAAGAGGATGTCAGTCTAAACTGACCATACACCAGTAGAATTTTCAGATCATTTGTTTAATTTTCTAATGGTCAGTGGGGTTAAATCAGTGGTTCTCAACCTGTGGGTCACGACCCCTTTGAGGGTTGAACGACCCTTTCACAGGGGTCCCCTAAGACCATCAGAAAACACATATTTCCGATGTGTAAAGAGCAGCTACAGTGTAGAAAGCAGCTGCTGTGTTGAAAGCAGCTACTCTGTTAAAAGCAGCTACTGTGTTGAAAGCAGCAGTATTGGAGGTAAAACGACACTCATGAATTATAGTTACTGGGTAAATAATTTTATGGTTGGGGGTCACCACAACACAAGGAACTGTATTAAAGGGTCACGGCATTAGGAAGGTTGAGAACCACTGGGTTAAATGGATGATCCTTTTCAACAGTAGTGATGAGCAAATTCAAAGAAGCAGGATGAAAACTGTTTCTCGAACAAATGAAATTCTAACTGGGAATGTGGTTTTCGTTTGGGAAAAATCATATATATTGTAATTTACATGTTATAGGCACAAAAGAAACATGTTTAATATGTATAGAATTCCATTTAAGTAGCAGGTCTGGACATAATTTTAAAGCACTTTGAAGTAAATTAGTTGACGCAGTGATGGAAAGTATGCTCTGAGAAGCAATTTTGCATAAAATTTGGAAGGCATATTATACAGGAAGGTATATTATAGTGTCTTGTTTAACCCTTTCGTTGCCATGGCCGTTTTTGTGTTTTTTGCACACGTGTAAAAAAAAAACTATTTTAGGCCTGAAGATTAAGTAAAACCCCCAAACATTATATATTTTCTGAAAGCAGGCACCCTAGAGAATAAAATAACAGTAGTTTCAATTAGCCGGGGAAAGTGACAGGGTGACCCGGAAGTGATGTCATAAACAAAACAGGTCACTAAATAAACACATGGCAGGGGTGCAGGTAGGGGGGGGGGGTGGAAGCAATTGGGCGGCAGCACAGCGGAATGCTTCCTATAAGCAGGAGTTTTGTACACACAATCCTGTTGGCAGCAGCCATTGGATTGTGTGTAAAACCCCCTGCTAACAGGTCCATACGATGTACGGACCTGGCAGCGAAGCAGTTGAACCTTTTTTTTTTTTAACATATAGTCAGTTTCTTCCTGGTTTCTGGCCTAGGCCTAAATGATGTTGTACATGCTATGAGTCTTCATGGACATTTTTTTCCTTCATCTAGAGGAGGAGCTTTCTCAGCCAAACACATGCTCCTGCCAACATGCTAAGGGTAGAGGATTCCAGTAAGTAAATGCTACATGAATCAACTGCCATTACTCAAGATTGCAGTGGCCTGAAATACTAGGGGGTGTTTCGAAAAGTAATTTCTCAACAAAATAAAGCATGGAGACATGTATGGACTGAGATGTCAAGAATATGTTTGTGGTCAAGAATATGTTTTACTTGCAGCTTAATTTAACATAAATGGGTGTGGTTTCACTGCACGTGGGGGAATAGTTGGGTTTATCACTAACAGGTATTGAAATAATACATTATGGGACTTTTGACAAATATGAACATTTCTACAAAGCCAGAGACTGCACAGACTGTGATGTATACAAGAGAAGGTAGAAGAGAGATTTTACAAAGGGCTCTAATCTTACTGTAATATGTTTCTGAATTACATAGGGAGTATATTACAGAAAATAGAATTTTGGTGTTTTTGTCTCTTAAAAATAGTTACCTGCAGAACCCCCGGTGTACTTGTTCAGAGAGAGGTTGTACTGTTCTGACTCATCTCCAAGTGAGAATCCATCATAGGTGGCATACGTGTGATTGTTGTCAAAATCTCCAAGATCTACACGGAGCTGGAAATTACCTGTAAGAACCAACATCTTTTCAAGTTCTTTGTTTCTTTGTCTGTTTTTTTGTTTCTTTCTTTCTTCTCTCTCACACATTCTCCATATTTCTATCTCTTTCAAAGCACATTGTCTTTCTCTCGCATTCTCTTGCTCATTATCTTTCTTTTTATCTACCTCTCTGTCTGTTTGCCATCATTTACCGTTAGCAGTTAGGGTGTGAATATTTTCATTTCCCAACCAGAATTCACTCCACTGATTCCCAAATCCTTTTTTATAGCCTTCCCAGTCACGGTAAAAGTCCACTGAGCCATCCCAGCGCCTCTGGAATACCTAAACAAAAATTGTATAGCTCATTTCTGCTACATTGTGTCAGTACATGAATAAACATCTTGTTCCAATTACATAATACTGTCCAATAACTTACAATCCATCCCCCACCATCTGTCTCCATGTCACACATAACTCTCAGAGGACTTCCATCTGGATATATGTAATACCACCCCGTAAGGGTCAGTCCTAAGTCCAATAGATCCTTACAGTTCCTCGGACCTGCAGAGCAAACAGAATTAACATCTTACATGCACTTCCTATAATTATTATATTTTATCAGTCCTGTCTTAATGTGCATTTTTTCAGGAGTAATTTATAATAAGGAGAAAACTAAATTTTAGTCCTCTTTCGTCATTTAGTTTACCAGTTTTCATAAAATAACATAGTTGTTATCACCTGTAATATCTAAATAGTATCTAAAGCTGGCCATACATTATACAATTTTCTTGTTCAATTTCCTTTAGATTTGCCTTCAACTGTAGTGAAAGGAAGTGCCGGGACAAGGTCATACAGTGCCCAGGGAAAAGATGCCAAACTGCACCCCCTCCGGTTCATGATGTGCAAGCTTCAGGGACCCTATGCCTAGCAGTCATATGCTTGCAAAATCACTGTCACTATTCATGTCAGCCTTGTAACAGAGGGAAGGCGCCCCAATCCCTAGAGCAAGCCATTGCACCCAGGGCAGCAGCCCTTTCCGACCACCCTTTGTCCCAGCCCTGGTGCAAGGGCCTGCCTGACTGTATGCAAACTGAAAGTGTTTAGGTTTGACCTCATATTATATGGTTTGGGAAAATTGTATAATGTATGACTAGCCTTAATTAAGTTTATCTTCCTAATGGATTTTCCTTTGTTCCCATTGAAATTGTCCTTCTCGCAAAGTGGTTTATTTTTTACCTTTTCATTGCCCCTTTTTTAAAGCAATATTTTATACAAAGAAATTAATATTTTTGACATTATGTTTGATTCTGCCAGAGAGCTCAGATCTAGGGGTCTTTGTGTTAGTGACTATGATGCCCAAAAGAAGTGGAAATAAAAACCTGCACAATCACCTCACTTTAACCTATTCCTAACACGTAACCTGAACCCTAATCTTAACACCCAAATTAAATCTTAACCTCTCCCCCCAGCATCGTATAACTAGCCAAGACATAATTTTTTGGGTTTTTGGAAAGAGTAAGTAAGGTACACAACCCCTGTCAGTGTATTTTTTTTTCCTCTCTGCCATTGGGGAGATTTATCTTCATTCCCCCAAGGTGCAGAAAAAATTGAAAGGAAATTTCTCCAAAGAGACAAATTCCTTTCTTAGACAGTTGTTACCAGAACAACCATTAAAACTAGCCAAGGAAAGATTTGCCTCAACTTTGGAAAACCCATCATTTTTTATCATGGCTAGTCTGGGCAAGTTCTGTTTTATTTGCATAATACCCTTAACCCAACTCTGAAACATACCCCTTAACATGACCCTAACATAGCGGCTCTGTGTCCCTCTCATGCTGGCTTTGTTGAGGGACTCTGCATGCGGAGTTATAGTACAGAGTGGGAGAGTGCACATTAAGGAGACACATACAGGACTTCATAGGTCCCAAAGGCACAGGAGGCACAGAAAGGGAATGTAGCAGTAAGGCCAGGGTACAATTACTAATTTCCAAGTAGGAAATTTAAAAAAAGCATCAAATGCACTTTAGTTATATTATTTTTATCTTATTTAGTGAAACAAAGTTTGACTTTAATAGCACTTTAACCCTAAGCCTCACTCCAACTTTAAATCAGTTCCTAAACTTCAAAATAAAGAGTGTAACGGAACCGGAACCCAGACCGCACTGAGTTTTTCCGTTATAGCACAACTTTCCCTGTCCGAACACCATCCACGGACCACGCCCTTGAAATCCCTTAGGAAAATAGACAATACCCAGCTCTTACTAAAACAGGAAGCCAACAACTCTTTATTTTTCACAAACAACATGTTTTATACAGAGGGCGGGGAAACACATCCAGGAACAGGACATACATCATCAGCCCACCCTCTCAGTGGGAAGGGCTACAGTATAGGCAGGAAACACCTCATCACCCCTCCCCATCCAACCAGACACAGAACAATGGGATGCAACCATGTGGCAAAGGACATTGACCAACCCCCACACCCAATACACAAACAGTACATCCCATAATAGTTGGCTGGACAGGAAGACACAGCACCATGGGGGGGAGCACATGACAAACAGAGACAATGGACAGCCATGTGGCCTAGACAAAGACAAACACACACTATACACAAGACTCAGACACTCACATACACACCCTGTACCCCTTAACAGGCACAGGGTGGGTTAAACATAATGAGGGGGACATGAGCTGACCAAGCGGTCCCCCCACCCCCAAAAGTCACTCCCGTCACAAAGAGTATATCCGCTTTTGTTAAGAAAACAAAAACTCACTGATCAGTGTGCATTGCATTTGTTTCACCAGAGCGATTGCATACTCATTCTGAACGAGAGGTTTTGGTTCATTATTAATCAGTTGATGCACTTTCTGTATTCTAATGAGGAAAGCTGTAGTGTCTGTGTCCCTTTAGGAGTAGTTAGTCCCTAGGAGAATATCTCACCAAAATTTGAATTTCTGTTTCATTGAGTGCCTAAAAACTGGCTTGTAACTTAGGGCAGACTCTTGGAAAATCAGTGAGCCAATCACACATGCAGGAAATTAAATTTTTTGAGGCATTCCATACACCAACTAAAAACAGAAAACCAGAAGGTTGCAATACTGTATTTAGTTTTACAGAAAAGGAAATGTTGTGTTTAATAACATTAAAGTCTTACTACACAACAGTAAAATCAGCCTGTTTATGCAGTAAAGCATGCTTGTTATACTCACTGTGGAACCTAAAGGGATAACCCTCTGCATTGTGTAAAAAGGATGTTTGATCTTCTCTTCTCTGATCCTCCCCTTCTTCCAGTGTCTTCTAAATACACTACCTGCCTTTACACGCACATGAACTTTAATGACATCCCAGTCTTAGTCCGTAGTGTCCAATATTGAGTTGGCCCACCCTTTGCAGCTATAACAGCTTCAGCTCTTCTGGGAAGGCTGTCCACAAGGTTTAGGAGTGTGTCTATGGGGATGTAATTCATCCCAAAGGTGTTCTATCGGGTTGTGGTCAAGGCTCTGTGCAGGCCAGTCAAGTTCCACCACCCAAGTGGATAATTACTTGCAGAGCATACACTTTGGTCTTACTCCTTTAGTAAATGAACGCCACTGTATATTGATATGTAATATGTTGCCAGTTTGTAAATAAATGATAGTATCAATACATATGTCTGCTATACATGCTGTGTTGGTTGAGAGATCACTTTCACAAAGGCTGAGCATACAAATATATAATTTTTACTTTTTTTTTTTCTTTCTTACCATCAGCGGGATCCCCTCTTTCACCTGTAAGATATTATTAAAGAGAAAAATTTTCATATGTGTACAAGAAGTTCTTCCAAAATATATCCTAATTTTAAGTGTCATTCACCAAGTCAGACTGCAATATGGCAATGCATAAGCAATACAGTATTTAAAGGGAAGGCACAAAAATATTTTTTATATCACAATGCAAAAAATCCATTCTTAAAGTGATTCTGTCCTTATATAAAAAAAAAGCTGCCTGTGAAGAAAAGGGGTAATATCATGCTGCTGTTTCTCTGTTGTGAATTTCACTGCTATAAGCAATCATTTTACTGAATTAAATTGATTCATTCAGTTTGTCCTGTTGTAATTAGCTGTGATTGGCCACAGCTAATCGTACAGTACAGATGGGCTGTGATTGGCCCTATCTGTACCATGTAATCACTGTGGCCAATCATAGCTAGCAAAACAATTGTAAAAATGCACAGAGCAGGTACTGTAAGTATAACATATTTTTTTATTTTAGAGGAAAATAAATTAAGCTTTACAATTGCTTTAAAATTGTACAGGCCCGTGAAATGGCAACAAACTACAGTAACTAAAACTGTCCATAGATGACGTTTTAAAAGCATTTACAGGTTATCAGTTTAGAATTAGTCATTAATTAGGGCCCTAGAATTATAGCTCTCACTTCAGTGTTTACAGTGATACAGTACCTCACATGTATGGTGCAGTCACCAATTACATATGCATGATGGACCTACAGTTGGCTCTGTATGCCATCAGAATAAATTAAAATGAAACAATCCAAATTAATTTGAAGTGCAGACTTTCAGCTTTAACTCAAGAGGTTGAACATAAATATCAAGTACAAATTTTAGGAACTGCAACCATTTTTATACACAGTCCCTCCATTTTCAGGGGCTCAAATGTAATTGGACAAATGAATAGAATCCTAAATAAAAATGTTCATACTTAATATTTTTGTTGAGAATTCTTTACTGGCAATGACTACCTGAAGTCTGGAACCCATGGACATTACCAAAGACTGGGTTTCCTCCTTTCTGATGCTTTGCCAGGCCATAACTGCAGCTGTCTTCAGTTGTTCTTTGTTTGTGGGTCTTTCAGCCTTTAGTTTTGCCTTCAGCAAGTGAAATGCATGCTCAATTGGGTTGAGATCAGGTGATTGACTCGGCTATTGCAGAATATTACACTTCTTTTCCTTCAAAAGCTCCTGGGTTGCTTTTGCAGTGTGTTATGGATCATTGTCCATCTGTACTGTGAAGCGCCGTCCAATCAACTTTGCTGCATTTGGCTGAATCTGAGCTGACAGTATAGCTCTAAACACTGCAGAATTCATCCAGCTGCTTCTGTCTTCTGTCACATCATCAGTAAACACCAATGACTCAGTGCCACTGGAAGCCATGCATTCCCATGCCATCACACTGCCTCCACCATGTTTTACAGATGACGGTGTGTGCTTTGGATCATGAGCTGTTCCAAGCCTTCTCCACACTTTTTTCTTCCCGTCATTCTGGTACAGATTAATCTTAGTTGCATCCATCCAAAGAATGCTTTTCCAGAACTGGTTTGGCTTTTTTAGATGTTTTTTGGCAAAGTCTAATCTCGCTTTTCTATTCTTCAGTCTAATGAATGGTTTGCACCTTGTGGTGAACCCTCTGTATTTGCTGTCATGAAGTCTTCTCTTGATTGTAGACTTTGACAATGATGCGCCCACCTCCTGGAGAGTGTCCTTCTCTTGTTTGGATATTGTGAATGGGTTTTACTTTACCATAGAGAGGATCCTGCGATCACCCACTACTGTTGTCTTCCGTGGACGTC